CGGCGGCGTCCGCGTTGCCTGCCGTCAGTACCGCGACCCCTTCCATGGCCGGGGCGACGAGGCGAGGCAAGGGGACCGATAGCGCGGGAGTTCCGCCGGCCTCCCTCCGCTGTCAGTGCGCAAGCGCGGCCGACCTGCAGGGCCCGCTGGGAAATGAGGTTCACCGGCCCGCACCTAGGCGGGGGCGTCGGCCGCGCGCTCAGGTGTACGGGGCGGGGCTTGCGGCCGCACCTTAAAGGAGACTCGCCCAATTTTGCCTCTGAAAGGCTTGGCGCTCTGGAGCCACCTTTTAAAAACGTCGAAATGACCACGGTCTCAGGCCACGATATTGTTTGCATCAACTTATGCACAGACAACTGAACTAGGTGCCATGTGATAGTGCATTACGAATAATGATCATTTCAGTTCGAATACTAGTTACGAGTTCCATGGCAAATCACCTCCCTTCTAGATTATTTCTGATAGGACATATGAAGTTTTTGTTTTGAAATATGTGTTTATTTATTTTGAGGAATCGTGTGTTGTATTGATGCAGGACAGAAATCAAAGCGCTATTGGAAGACCACCCATGATAATTCGTCACATAAAGTCAGCTGAGTTTCACTCAGCAAACATTTATTGAAGGTCCACCAAACTAGAAACTGAGACCTACCCCCTACATATCATCCCACTGCAATTTTATTAGGATAAAAATTTGGAATTGGTTTACATTATCCTTGATGACTAAGATAATGCCAGCTGGGACCAGCAGATGACGTAATGGTTTTGTCGTTGGACTCTCACATGTGCGACCTGATTTCAAGCCCCAGAACCGGGTCCCTCCCTGAGCGTGCCCGCCCAAAACCCCAAGAGGAGAATGGAGGAGAAGGGATTGCAGCGTGGCCATCCCCCTGGGCGGGTGATTCCTCGATTTCTGTCTCTCTGTCTCTCCTGTAAGCACACATGCTCTATAGCAAATAAAATAAAATAAAATAAAATCCCTCTTAAAAAAGGAAAAGATAATGCCTACTAAGATCATGATCCCTATAAACCAGATTCAGAAGATCAAATACCCTTTAGGGAAATAATGTTGGGGACAGTCGCACTGGAGAGAAGTGTGGTCGCTGTGTGAAATTCATGCTAATCTGGAGTTGCTGTGGTACTTCCTAGGGAACTGGCAAGGAGAACAATTCACGGTGCTGGCCTGAGGGACGATGGACTAGTCACAGATCGCAGGTACTCACTGCTCCCGGAGCAGACTCGCCCTCTCCCTCTGCAGTCCCAAAGTCCAGTCAAACTCGAGACAGTGATGTTTGCACGACCCAACAAGGAAAGGAAGGAAGGAAATGTCTCATTCTCTGTGAGGGATGTAGATTCCAGAGGGCTGAGAATGGAAATTGAACTATCTTACTGGAAAAAGATGATTAAAGAGGGAGAGAGATAGAAAGAGGCAGCCTTAAACACGTAGATACTCTTAACAAAGCCCCAACAAGTATGTGAGAGCCTCATCATAATTCTTTTTTTTTAACAAAGCTACTTTTTTTTTTTTGCCATAGGGCGCATGCGCTCACCAGACAGAGAGAGAGAGAGAGAGAGAGAGAGAGAGAGAGAGACAGAAAGTGAGAAATCACCCCCCAGGGGGGATGGCCACGTCACAATCCCTTCTCCTCCATTCTCCTCTCGGGATCTTGGGCACGTACGCACACGCGTCCGGCATGAGTTTTAAGCCACCGGGTCCGGGACACGAACCGCCGTCGACTATGTGCGAGTCCAGGGACATAGCCATTACGCTAACTGCTGGTTCCCAACAAAGCTACTTTTAATACTTTGAGGTGAGCCCCACAGGAATAAAAAACCACACCCCCCCCCCCCCCCCCCCAGTGGCCGGTGGGGGTGGTGGGAGGGTGGTGAGGGGGAGGTTACCTGAGGGGAAGGAAGCACAAAGGGACCCGCTGCAGGCTCAGGGAAGGGAATGCCGTCATGCTGGGACCTGTGAGCACTTGGAGGACATGCACATGGGCCAAGGGCAAGAGGGCTGGGCACCAAGCCACAAAGCTACCTGGGTTCCTCCTTCTTCTCGGTTGCCTGTTTCTGCTTCTGCTGCAGGATCTCCGAGTCCCTGGGGGTAGATGATGGGGCACTCTGCTTGCGGGCGTTAGCAGAGCCCATCTCGGCGCTTTCCCTTATCCGAGTCGCTCTGCTTTTCCATACTCTTCTGGCGGCGAGCTCGCGCTGGTTACTGGTCATGGCGACCGCGGCGGCTCGGGCCTGCCTCCTTGCGTCCCCTCGTTCTGTCCGACCTCGTTCCTCACCGTAATTCTATTAGATACAAGTACCACTTTAGCCTCTCAACATTGTAAAAGCTACCTAGTATTCAAACACTAATGTAGCTGTTCCTGTGCCCTCGTTTTGTTGACCTGAAGCAAAAGAGAGATCTTTGATCATCAGGGTGGACATTATCCAATCAGATGAAAGGCCTTAAAAGCAAAACTGATATTTCTTTGTAGAAAAAGAAATTATTCCTGTAGGCTACTGCATCAGCTCCTGCCAAGGAGTTTCCAATCTGTTGGCATGCCCTAAGATACCCTGCTGGTGGGGCCAGCAGGTGGCATGGTGGTTAAGGTGCTGGACTCCCACATGACTGATTGTGGTTCAAGTCCCAGACCTGGTGGCTAGCTTTCTCTCTTTTCGTCTCTCTGGTCAAATTTTTAAAAAAATAATAATAATAGCAATTTTAAAAAAAGAATTATTTTATGTTTAATTTGATTAGAGAGGGACAGAGCAAGAGAGGGAGAGAAAGTGAGAAAGCAAACCACAAGGTCCGGGACTCGAACTTCGGTTGGTCATGTGGGAGTCCAGCATGCTTAACCACACCATGCTACCTACTGGCCCCTAAATAAAATAATTCTAAAAAAAAAAAAAAAACCAGATATCCTACTGGTTATGCTCTTGTAGCTCCTTGGCCAATACATATGGTAAATAATACAATTATGTGGTATTTACAGAGTACATGCTTTCATAAAGTGAGAAGTTCATCTATCTTTTTTTCAAAGAATTATTTTATTTAACTTTATTTATCTATTTATGTTCATTTAAACAGAAAGGGACAGAGAGAGAGACAGAAAGTGAGAAAGCAAACTGCCAGGTCCAAGACTTGAATTGCAGCCAACCATGTGGGAGTCTAGCGCCCTTAGCCCCCACACCACCTGCCAGTCCCTCACGTATCTTTACTGTGAGCCACGTGTGCTGCCACAACCCCCAGAAATCTGGGATTAGGGAGTCTTTAAACTTTGACATGGGGGAACCAGCAGTTAGCGTAATGGCTATGTTGCTGGACTCCCATGTAGTCAACCGAGGTTCGCATCCTGGACCTGGTGGCTTAAAACTCACGCCGGGTGCGTGTGCGTGCGTGCCCAAGATCCCAAGAGGAGAATGGAGAAGAAGGGATTGCAGCGTGGCCATCCCCTCTGGGGGGTGATGTCTCACTTTCTGTCTCTATGTCTCTGTCTGTCTGGCGAGCGCACACGCCCTATAGCAAAAAAAAAAAAAACTCTCCAAAAAAAAGAAAAAAAAACTTTGACATGGCACCAAAATTGAGTAACACTCTAGAATTGGGCCAGAACGTCACTCCCACCTTGGATGCTTTATATTTACTTTATTTATGTATTTATGTTTAGTTTGCTGTAGTGCATGTAAACTCACCCAAGAGAAACACAGAGAGGGAGAAAGAGAAAGAGAGAGAAAGTGAGACCTCACTTCCCCAGGGGATGACCACGCCACATTCCCTTCCCCTCCATTCTCCTCTCAGGATCTTGGACACACAGGCACATGCCCCTGGTGTAGTTTTCAGCCACCGGGTCTGGGACTGGAATCCCAAAGTCAGACATGTGGGATCCAGCTGCCTTACCTCCACGCCACCTTGCTGGCCCCTCTCGGATGCTAACGTGTTAGTAGAGTGGTGGAAATGTGGGTCTAGTCTGAGCAGTCATTGTCCTCTGGATATTGTGTCTAGAATAAGAGAGGGGGTTACTAAAAAGGTGACACACAGTATCAGAGGGATTTGGTTTATTCCTGTGTCATTAGGAACGATTGTTTCAACAGAAAGTCACACCAAAATTGTTAGGTAACATTTTCACATTAATTTAACACAAATGTTACCTTTAGGAAATAGGAAAGGCCGGTTGAATATAAAGAGTAGTAAATATCTGGGCACACACACAAAATTAAGAATTCCTTTATTTAACTTAGTTTATTTATTTACTTATCTTAATTTGACCAGAGAAGGACAGACCAAGAGAGAGAGAGAGAAAGAGAGAGAGAGAAAGTGAGAAAGCGAGCCGACAGGTCCAGGACTTAAACCGTGGTCAGCCATGTGGGAGTCCAACACCCTTACCCACCACACCACTTGCCAGCCCCATGGGCACCAAAAAGTTTAAGGGAAGATGATTTACTTGTTCATTGTGAAAGTAGATCCACGACCAATCAGGTGGGCTGTTGGGGAATGAAGAAATCCCAAAATGCTTCTGGGAACTTGGAATGATTTCCTGGTGCCTTTTTTTTTTCTTTATTGATAATAAAGTGTGTGTGTGCACATAGAGGGAAGATCCTCCACGGCTCTGTGCATGCCCAGTCCCCTTCTGCAGCTCTCCAGCCCGTCAGATCGTGGGCACTCATGCACTTGCCTGGCATGTTTCATTCAGGCTGACCAGATGGGGGATTTGAACCACAGTCACCATGTGGAGTCCAGCTTCTCTTGAGCAGTACATTACTGCTATGGCATAAAACTGGCTTCATATCCTTGTATTTCTGTGTTTTAAATAAACAGTTAACTAAAGATTTAAAGTTTAAAAAAAAATGTTTTGGGCTGGTCCCACTTTGCATGTTTCTCAAGTTTGCTAGGTCTGGGACTTGACCCAGTCATTCATGTGGGACCCAGCTACCTTAACCAAAAGGCCACAGAGCTGGCTCTATTCCATTGATTTTTTTAAAATTTATTTTATTTTTTATATGTATTTATTTTAATTTAACAAGAGAGGAACAGAGTGAGTGAATGAGAAGGAAAGAGAAAGCAAGCCACCAGATCCAGGACTCAAACCAAGGTTGGCTATGTGGGAACCCAGCGCCCTTACAGCACCCTTAATCACCATGCCACCTGCCAGCCCCTTCATTGATTTTTGACAAGGGTGCCAAGACAATTCAAAAGGGGAAAGAACAATCTTTTCTTTTCTGTAATAATTTTTTTTGTTATCAATATTATTTAAATTGACCAGAGAGAGAAAGGGAAAGTGAGAAAGCAAACTGCCAGGGCTGGGACTCAAACCATGGTCAGCCATGTGGGTGTCCAGCACCTCAACCACTGAGCCACCTTCTGGTTCTGGGGCATTGGGATATCCACATACAAAAGAATGAGATTGAACCCTTATCTCATATTATATTTTTTAAAAAAAGAAAGAAAAACTCAAAATGGATCATAGACTTACATGAAAACTAAAAGTATAAGACTCTTGGAATAAACCAGGTGTAAGTCTTTATGACCATGGGTTAAACAATCATTTCTTAGATGTGATACCAAAATCTCAAGCAGTGAAAAGAAAAATGGGTAAATTAGAATCATCAAAGTTCAAACGTTAGGGAGTTGGCATCGGCGCACTTGCCAGGCACCTGCAGACTTCGCTTCAGAGCTCTTGGCAGCAGGGAAGCCCCTCATGCTGGAACATCATGGTAGGTCATGCTGTAAAGCCTGATAGTAGAAACTGCAAGAGAACTGGAGCTTCAAATGCCAGATGGTCAACAGCTGTCCTCTTTTGGAAACTCGGATTCGTCTTTGAAAATTCTGGACTACTTTATAAAGATGAAGTCTTAGAGGAAGATTGAAATGATATGAGCAAGGAAATTAATCTAATGTTGCCTACATAGGCACAGATTTTAAGGGAGAGAGCAGCAGTAGATGCATCTTACATCGACTAGGTAGATGGACTCTTCAAAGAAGCCAATACTATTGAAAATTCCCTAATACAAAAAAGGGTTAACAGCGACTACACACACACTACACAGATAAAATGTGTAATTAAACCAAGAGCGTAAACCTGTTTTCATTGTAATGAAAGAATGACATTCATGCTTTGAAACCTCTCTAGTTGTCAAAGAAAGTGAGAGGCAGAAACTCCTTGAATTTCTTTCCTAAATTTAAAAAGAGCTTGGGACCAGCAGTTGGCGTAATGGCTATGTTGCTGAACTCCCATGTAATCAGCCGCAGTTTGAGTCCCAGACCTGGTGGCTTAAACTCCCACTGGGCACATGTGCATGCATGCCCAAGATCCTGAGAGGAGAATGGAGGAGAAGGGATTGCGGCGTGGCCATCCCCTCAGGGCGATGATTTCTCACTTTCCGTCTTTCTGTCTCTCTCTGTCTTTCTGGTGAGCACACATGCCCTGTAGCAAAAACCTCTCCAAAAACAAACAAACAAAACTTAAAAAAATTTTTCTACTTTCTCTTCATATAGTAAAATATAACTGCTATTGTTATTTAATATTGCCCTTTGATTATTTTCACTATTAGTTATTATATATGACTAATATAAATTTAGTTTTATGTTACCTTATTGTGATAAAAGAAGTAAAAAAAAAAAAACAGAAATTGCTAACTAAAACTAACTAACTAAATAAATAAATCTTTGAGATAGCTCCATACTACAGAAGTTAAGTGAAGCCAGATACCACACGGTTGGCCAGGGTTCAGGTCTACCCCAGGTGCCTTGAAAACACACTAAGTTGGGCTAGCCTGTGATCCACTAATTAAGCGAGCCAGATCCCACGTGGCTTCACTTCATACAAGAACTTTTTGTTTTGTTTAGGTTTTAAAAAAACAGGCTTGGGACTAGCAGTTAGCGTAATGGCTATGTCGCTGGACTCCCATGTAGTCGATCACGGTTTGCGACCCGGACCCAGCGGCTTAAAACTCACACGGGGCATGTGTGCGCACATGCCCAAGATCCCAAGAGGAGAATGGAGGAGAAGGGATTGCTGCGTGGCCATCCCCCCGGGGGGTGATTTCTCGCTTTCTGTCTTTCTGTCTGTCTCTGTCTGTCTGGTGAGCGCACAAAACAAAACAAAAACAGGCTTGTCTTTTTTTTTGAGAGAGATTTTTGCTATAGGGCACTTGCGCTTGCTGGAAAGACAGAGAGACAGAGAGACAGAAAGCAAGAAATCACTCCCCGGGGGGATGGCCATGCCGCAATCCCTTCTTCC